TGGGCTCTCCTGCAGTCCCCCGGTAAGTGCAGAAACCGCCTAGCTTTCTTCTTTTTCTCCTCTCCTTCTTCTTCTTCTTCTTCTTCTTCTTCTTCTTCTTCTTCTTCTTCTTCTCCTCCTCCTCCTCTCCTCTTCTCCTCCTACCCCTCCGAAGTCTTCTTCTTCTTCCTCTTCTTCTTCTTCTTCTTCTTCTTCTTCCTCTTCTTCTTCTTCTTTATCAGAGTAGAGATAGAGGTAACTGCAGACATTGTTTGGACACGACATTCTGCCTTATTGGACACGACATTCAGATCGGACTTACACTCTACCTCGGGATTGAACTGTGTACGACATTCGGAGATCGGACTTGGGTTGGACTTGGTTACCTCCTATGTCTCTCCCCTTTCTCTCTCGCATGTCTATGGATCTCTCCCCATGTGTGTGAGCGGAAGGGCAATCTTTCTGATGTCCTGCCCTTCCGAAGTTTATCCCTTTCATGTTTGTCTGTCCACGTGTCCTTTGATTACTAATTCTTCCGCTGCGCTGCTTCCCAGCCCATGATGATAATGATACGAATGTGTTGTTGTTGATTTCTCGTTGGTTCACTCTTTGCATCGTGCACATTGACATCTTGTGAATGTTGCACCTATGCTGCTGGTTGTTGCCACTTTCGTCATTGCTAGATCCTAGGCTCTCAGTGCATTTCACTTCCTGATATGCTACACTCACCCCCCCCCCATCTTCTTTTCCGACGGCATCGTTACGTTGCCACGTCAGCCGACAACCGTGCCACATCAACAAAAGTTGGTGGCCCGTCAATCCCTGCCACCTGCGGCGCATGCCACCAACCACCCGCTCACAGACAATCTACATGGATTAGAGGCAAGGGTGAACTGATGAGACCTATGAGGCCCGGGTATCGGACCAACTAGTTGAATGGAAGAAGTGAGCGGACCCGGCTACAGCCGCACGACAGAGGAGGGAGGAGGAGGCAGAAGAACAGTGTCGCCTCGCTGAGCAACAGCAATCGACAGACGTAGATGCAGTAAAAAAAGCTGCAGATCAACAATGACGAGCATGTCGATACTCACTTTTCGAAAGCGAGGGGGAGCTCGAAGTACTCGTCGGAGAATGGGCAGTAGCTGCCAGAGGAGAATGCATCCGACGTGGTGCGTGGCGTCGCAACCGTGTTCGAACATGTGACCGACTTGGTCGCCACATGTACCACCCAGCAAGAGGACATCCTATGCATTGACACGCTGGTTAAAACGCAGGTTGAGCTCGTCGCCGACCTGCTTGACCGCTTGCGCCGGCTGGAACAACAACCTGCAGCAGCCACACCCGTCGGATCCTCCAACTTCGGCGATCGCATCAAGGCTCTCGAACTGGACGTAGGCACCTTAAGGGACGGCGTTCAG